AGAAAATCTCTCAGAAGTTGTTACCCGCCTACAGAGGACCTTGGCAAGTTCTGGATGTGATCGGAGATGTGGATGGACCTTCTTATGTAATTGAAATTCCTCTACACTTGCATACGTATCCAGTATTCCACGCCTCAAAGCTCCTACTTTGTGTCACAAATGAGCTATTTCCTAGTCGCAGATCAGCGATACCCCCTAGTATGGATGGGAAGTATGACGTGGACAGGATTATTGCTGAAAACACTTTCCAAATTGGACGGAGAGGCAAACCCCAGCGACAATATAAAGTAAGATTTTCATATCAGGATTCCATTGAAGATTACTGGTTTACAAGAGAGAATCTACTTGAGTCTGCACCTCACATTGTATCTGCTTATGAAAGAGCTGAAAGAGGAATAAGTATTCTAGATAGATGAAGGTCTTCTCAGAGGACTTCGAATTTAGGTCGACGAGAGTAAAAGGGCCTTTACCCGATTCAGACCCTGTTCGGCAAATGCAGCATAGAGGGGTCACTTGCAAGACCCCCAACTCGTGAAAGCAGATCAAGGGACATGTTCTCTGGGTCAAAGGTCACATCTTGGCTAAAGTAAAGACAATGTCAAAGGTCATGGTTGTGCCCCTGAACGAAGTGTCACAATGTTTAGATTTGGAAGTCACATCTATTCGTTCAGAGCAGGTACCGGTCATGTCTGTTCGTGCAAGGGATGTGTTTGTACGTTCAGTCACTGTGTCTGTTCGTGCAATGAGCGTGTCTGTTCGTACAGTATGTGTGTCTGTCCAAAGGAAGTCAAAGAGTTAAGTCCCTGTCCAGATTCGAGTCAAAGGGAAAGTCTAGATTCAGATTGGGAGTTCAAAATTGAGGCCTAAAGGCCGCCGCAGCAGCAACACCTGCAGGAAAAAGGCCTGGGACACATACACAGAGGCTGGGACCGGGAAAGGACCAAGATAGACTGAATTCAGACCTCGCCAGGGGAGGCCAGCACTATAAGAAACGAGGCAGCCTCCCCACAAGCAGATTTCCACTGGCATTGTTGCGTGGAAGTGCTGAAGGCACTTGTGGGCTAAGGTGCAGGGAGGAGCGCTGGCTGAAGAAGAAGCTGCCCCAGAAGAGGAAAAGTTGGTCGCTGGCTGTAGGGAAGTCATAGTTGCGCCGACATAAGTTAGTAGAAGAGGGTTAGTAGTAGTATATCAGTGAGTAGCATTCAGAGTAAATTCTCATAGACAAGGAGTGTGCATGCAAAGAGAGGGAGAGAGGAACTACTACAGAGATCTTGAGAGAGAAGACAGGGAGTGAAAGAAGACATTCTACAAGAGGGATATGGTGGACACTTACTTGTTTGCGCCACACTTGTGATCTGGAGAGAGAACGCTAGCTGAGCCAGGTGCTATGATGATGAATGAGTGAAGAAGACTTGTATTCCATTGGCGCTGCACTTCCTAAACTCGAGATACTCTTTTATAATGTGGATTTGTTAATATGAGTTGCGCTACTTGGTTCTTATCATCTCATCTCATCTATATCCTGTGTGAGACATTCTCATCTGTGTGATGACATGAATGCATGCGAGATATTGCACTCCAGTAAGGTGTGAACTAACGGG